CAATTGCTCTTAATATGATCACAGAGGTCATTTATGTAGAGTATGAAGAGAGTTGGTCCTGGAACACTGCCTTGGGGGACACCACTGTTGACAGGTACAGAATTTGATAGGACGCTCCCAATTTTGACCATTTGTTGTCTGTTTGCCAGGAATGCTTCTATCCAGTTATGCAGTTGTCCAGAGATACCATAGGATTTTATTTTTAGGAGTAGTTTGTCATGTACCACTGAATCAAAGGCTTTACAGAAGTCTATGTAGATTGCGTCTATTGCTTTGCCCTGGTCGAGTTGTGTCGTCCATATGTTTTTGCAGTGTAAGAGTTGCAGATTACAGGATAGTTTTTTTCTGAAACCAAATTGTTTATTGGAGAGTAGGTTGTTTGTCTCTAAGTGGAGGATGATGGATTAGTTAATAATTGATTCCATGACTTTACAGGTGACGCAGCATAAGGAGATTGGTCTGTAATTTTCAACTAGGCTGGGGTCTCCCTTTTTGAAGATGGGGATGACTGCGGCTTGTGACCATAGGTTAGGCAAGGAGCTGGTCCTGAAAGATTTTTCAAAGATTATGCTTAGAGGTTTGGCTATGGCAGTGGATAGCTTTTTTAAGAAGTAGGCACATATTCCATCCGGTCCAATAGATAAAGATGGTTTTAGATTGCGTAGTGCTTTTTCAACATTGTCTTCTGTAAAATCGATATGTATTAGATCATTGTTGTTATCTGTGGTACGGCTAGGAAATACTGGGCATGATCCATTGCTGTTTACAAATACTGAGCCGAAGAATGTGTTAAAGATGTTGGCTTTAATGGTGTTTCCCAAGGCTTCACCAGAAGCTGTTTTGGGATGGAAGGATCAACTTTGTTTTGCCAAATCTTGCCCCATTGCATTCATATTAATAGCTGCCCTGAACTGACTTACCATCCCTCTCCTGAATTCATTTCACCAAAGTGGACAGAAACTTGGCAAACAAAGAAGCAAATCTGATCGTGGAAGACCTTCATTCAGTTTCAATAATATTTCTTGGCTAGAATTCTTTAATCCTAAAATCATAACCCACAAGAGAGTAAGTTATCTCTATGACCTGTCTTAACATTTGCAACTTTCAGAGTGCTGTAATGCTGAAGATCCAGAGCACAAATGTAGGTTCATTTAGAGACTGCTTCTCTTAACAACCAAGTGGCTGGTCCCAAGTGACCACTAAACAAGGAGTATTTGCATCTGATAAATTTGGGGTTGCGGGAGGGTGCTCAGTAATTAAGACCAGATTTGATTGGATTTATGTCACTTACCAAGACATTCTATCTACCACAGATGGCCTTACAGCAGGGGTCCCCAACCACCAGTCCGCGGACCGGTACCGGTCCGTGGAACAAGTCCTACCGGGCTGCTGGTTTGCTGGGCGCCGCCATCTTGTTTTGATGAAAAAGTGCTTCCGGTGAGCTTTTCCGGGTAGAAAGCTCACCGGAAGCACTTTTTCATCAAAAAAAGATGGCGGCGCCCAAGCTGATGCCGGTACCGGGCCGCGGCATAAAAAAGGTTGGGGATACCGGGCCGCGGCATAAAAAAGGTTGGGGATCACTGCCTTACAGGCAAGCATAATCCCTTAAGATGATTTTTGCAAACTTGTTTTCATACCCACCTTTCGAAGTACTTTTCATCACTTAAAAGCTTATTCAACAGAGTGCATAATCATGTATAAATTTTACATTTAGAACATAAAACCCACTGTCCTCAAGAACTGAGACAGTTACAATGACCTGAATTCCAAGAGGGTGGGGCACCAGGAGATATATACTGCACATACTCTCCATCCTCCCAATTCCACCCCCACCCCAACCATCCCCCTTTTGAAAAAGGGGAGCTAACTGGCTTTAGGTCAGGTTACCCTCTAACTTTCCATGGCTGGGTATGGAGACATTTGCTTCTTGTTCATTCTGAAAAGCAAATTGCCTGATGGAAGGCAAACCTTTTCTAGTGAATTTGAGGGCTTTTTAAATTATTATTTAATTCCATTAGGCCATCTCAACACAACCCTCTTCAATAATACTTGGTTTTATTTACCAGACGGCTCCAAATATAGGCTTAAGCTTGGAGACAATGTGACTTGTACCTATTCCCAGGAGTGCTGTTGTAGTGCTCTCCAACCATAACCTAGTCTGCCTGCCTGGATTAATAGGGAAGAAACATCCCTCTGAAGACCAGTTATTATGGGGGAGGTGGGGAAGAAGGTGAAAGAGAACAAACCTTTAATAGCTTTGGAACTTTTCCTTTTCCACTCCAGTGATATCCAAATCTCCAAAACTGTTGGGGTGTTGAAATGTACCATTTCTATGGAAACAGACCAATTCCAGGCAATGGCTTTCTGCCAAGCTACATCCAAAGTCATAGGCTTGAAGGAAACACAGCTGAGGATAGTAATTCAAGTAACAATCTGATTTGATTCCTGCAGCCTAACACAGGGAGAGAGATCAAGATTTCACTAGTGCAGGAGGTGAAGAACACCTTGGGGGACTGTGTAGTGGTTGTTTTTTAGCTCAGGTTTTTTTTTTTATTTGTTTTTGTGCCTGATGACAAAGTGAAGATGCCCACTTGACTTTTCCCACAGAGAATAACCATTCTTGTTTTTCTGAACTCAGCTGCTTTGGGGAAATACAGAATTAACTGAAGGATAATTTTATGTTTTCCTGTTTGGACTGTGTACGCCTGACCTTGTTGAACATACATATTACTGACATCCAATTTCCAGATCTTTGAGCAAGGGTCTTCACACTTGGTAAGTTTAAGACTTGTGGACTTCAACTCCCAGAATTCCTGGATTTGGATTTCCGGTCTGCAGCGCTTCGGAGCAGGCAGGAATCCGTGACTGTGCACAGTTTCTGCCTGTGTTCACTGCCCGAGTGCCCCGAGCCATTTGGCTTCGGGGCTAAGCCACCTCCGTAGAAGGTGGCGAAGACAGGGGGGTCTGGCAGGGTCGAGAGACATCGCACCTCTCTTCCCTAGCCAGCTAAACCCTCTTTTCCAAAGGCAGCTGAGCGGCGGTCAGTAATGGCCGCCACATAGAAGAGCTCAGCCGGAAAAAGAAAGTGCAGGAGGAGCTGTCAAGAAATGAAAGTGATCTTTGCTGACCGGGACAAAGTAACAGTGAAAGTACCCTGGAACTTAAAGCTTATTAAAGATACATCGTTTCCAGAATGTGTCAAGCGGTGAATGGAAATTAAAGGAAAAACTTTTTTTCTTTTCACTCTCCTTCCGAACGTGACAGCGATAGAACTTTAAGAGAAATCGTAAAACTCGCATTGGAGGTATGGATTTCTGAACATTTAAAGGAAGACCTTTTTGCTGTAAGTGGGAAGGGAGAGGAAAAAAAATTAGCAGAATTTGAAAACGAGGAGATTGCCTAGAATTTTAAAGAGCTATTGAATATTAATAAGACTTCTAAAAGATATATCTTAATTGGAACTTTTTGATTAAACAGCAATCCCAGAAATAGAAATGGAAGAAAGAAAAAACTATTAAAAGAAATAGCTTATTTGGATTGTTTGGTGACTTTGGAACTCTTGGGAATTATTTTTGATTAAAAGCACTCGGGTGGTTGTTTTGGAAAAAAAATTTCTCTTTACAATGGCATCGCTTGTGGATGAATTAAAAATTGAATATAAAAAATATAAAAAAGAAGAACAAGATGGGAAAGATACTTTGGGCACTCTTTTTCAATTTCTAGAAATGGCGGTATGTACTTATGAAAAATTGACTACACAGCAGGACGACTGGGACAAAGAAGAAGCCATCTTTGATGAACAAATGATTCTATTTGGGGAGGAGGAGAAAGAGGAAAAGAAAAAGGGGATTTTAAGGCTTGAAAAAACAACCAAAAAAGAGAAAAATGAGATGAAAGGTGGATACAAGGTTAGAAAACAACAGAAAGGGGGAAAGCAGAAGAAAAGGGAGGAGGAGAGACAAAGGGGTAAAAAGGGCAAGGAGAAGAATAAGCAAGAGAGAAAGGAAGGGATGAGAAGCCTTAATGGTGGGAAGCAAGATTTAAAGAAACAAAATTCATTTAGAGATAATGGGTAAATTTAATTGAAAAAGGGATTCTGTAAGGTACATAAGATTGTGTTTTTATATGTGTATTTAGAATAAAATGCTTAAGATATTAATGAGTATTAATATGTATGATTAGTTTTTTAATGGCATTGATAGTGGTCTTATATACCTATAAATATGTTTTTGTTGTTTTTTTCTTATAAAATACATTGTGTAATTTTAGAATGTACTAAACAGAATCCCAATATAAGTTAAGTGTTATATTAAGTATTATTAAGTTAGGGGAAAGAGTTAAAGGCGTCATACTCCAATCAGTGTACAGGAGAAGTTTGTTTAAAGAGAAAAGATGAATGGATAGCTGGAAATAGAACAGACAAAGAATGGTAAGTATTATGATTTGAACTGAGATGAGATAAATAAAATAAAATAAAATTAAGAAAGATAAAAGAGGGAAGAAGCTATATAGAAAATTGAAAATGGTAATAAGATATGGAATGGTATATAAAATGAAAATGAATTTTGCATTTGTGTATGTGCGAAGAGTTTTAACCCGGGATCAAGCAACTTTCAGAAAAGATGTTTTATGTTTTTATGTTCTACGTTTTGTTTTGTTTGTGTATTGTTTTTGAAAAGCAATAAAATTTTAATTAGCAAGAAATATAATTTGAATAATAGAATGAAAGGGAGAAATAAAGAGAAGTTGGGATAAGATACGAAGTTGAACAGATAACGTAAATATATATATTATAATTTGGAATTATTCTGTATGTTCTATTGGTTTTTTCAGAAAAGATCTTTTATGTTATGCTTTGTGTATTGTTTTGTAAAAACTAATAAAATTTGTTTTAAAAAAAAACTCCCAGAATTCCTGAGCTAACATGACTGGAGGAGGAATTCTGGGAGTTGAAGTCCACAAGTCTTAAAGCTGTCAAGTTTGAAGAGCCCTGCCTTTGAGCCATAATAGTGGCTGGTAATGTTGCCTCCGGTTACTGAACCTTTGCAGCCAATGCCGCCTTCCCCATCCTCAGATAAATCAAACATTAAAAACTGCAGTTAAAAGAGTTCTGAGAACAATTAAACCCCTGGGTGACCCAGATTCAAGTCGGCCTTCAGTTATGCACCATTTCACTTTCGGAGTTCCTTCCCTTTGGGGTACAAGGGCCTCCGATGTGGACAGATTATAACTCCCATAGAACAGATACAAATCAAGGAGACACACTTTAATAACATGATCGCGTTATTAAAAGCAGTTTGACAACTTGATTCGAAATACTGGAGCAAGCAAATAAAGGATTATTTCTAGGAGAGGAAGAGACGGCCAGCTCTTTCTTAGAGGATGTAGGTGGCTCTAATAAGAGCCTTTGGGTTGAGTTGGGAAGTCGGGTAGCAGCAATTCACTTGCCTTTGTGGCTTTCCGTCTTCTTGGGCAAGAGGACCGCTTGGATATTGGGTAACACGCCCCCTTGAGCGATGGTCACTTTGCCCAGGAGTTTGTTGAGCTCTTCGTCGTTGCGAATGGCCAACTGCAGGTGACGGGGGATAATGCGGGTCTTCTTGTTATCCCGAGCAGCGTTGCCGGCCAACTCCAGGATTTCCGCCGTGAGATATTCCAGCACCGCCGCCAGGTAGACTGGAGCGCCGGCGCCCACCCGCTCGGCGTAGTTCCCCTTACGCAGCAAACGGTGGACGCGACCGACCGGGAACTGAAGCCCTGCACGGGAAGAGCGAGACTTGGCCTTGGCTCTCGCCTTGCCGCCTTGTTTGCCGCGACCAGACATTCTTTAAAGAAGTTTATTTCTTTGCCGATCTCAAAGCTTTAGGGCCTGAATGGATGAGAATGGCGGGGGGGCAATTTATGCCTGCTTCACCGTTTGAAAGCGGCACTTCTGATTGGCCGGCTGTGATGTCAATGCGCGTCAGCCAATGCAAAAGTGATTTCTCAGCAGGACCAATTGAACAGAGAAATATTGTTTTTCCTCCAATAGGAAAGAGGAAGCGAGGGCCGCGATTTGCATGCACACCTTCGCCGGAGGTAATCTCGGAATGCTGCAGTAAACAGGAAAAACTACCTATTAAGAGCATGGCAGTTGCGAATTTTAGAATTGTGCAACCGCTGGAGCTACCTTTTCCGGTATGCGAGGGAAAGCTGCGGGCTCATGCAGAAACCCTATTGTTGCCTTTATAATGTGTAAAGCCAAGCCTGGCCGATTCTTTCCCTTTGGATATTCCTTGTGCTGAAATGGATTCTTAAATGGTCGCTGTCCTTCATTTCGGAAGTAACTGCGTTCCAGATAGACTATATACAAGTTACCGTTTCGTACCCTAGACTCTGCAATGTGTGCGCTTGTATTTCATTCTTTACAACTTATTTATCTATACATTTCAAAATAATCTGAAGAAAAGTACACTTGATTCTGTCGAGCTATAGCAATAGATACATATTTTGCTTCGCAATTCTTTTGTAACAAACTGCCTCACTCCCGATCAGTAGTTTGTCAGATTGTTACCTTATCAGCGGCTTGTTTGAAATTCTACATCCCGCCTATACTTTTTCTGAAAATAAACAATACAAAGCAAAACTTAAGTGATTGAATCAAAAAAATTTTGTTGGGGTTCTTAAAATAGTCCTTATATTTTAAGAACCCCAACAAACGTTTTTTTGATTCAATCACTTAGGTTTTTCTCTATTGAACATTCAAGATATGTTTCAAAACAACAGCCATTTCTAGTGGCGTTTAAGGAGGGAGGCTAAATGCCTGAAATATTGTACTTCCATAAAGGTGAGATACTATCTTACACCCTATGAGATTACTTGGAACACAGAACCTTTGCAATTTGAAACGCATTGAGTTAACTATTAGCCATTCGCTGTTTTAAAATGAAGCCGAGCCTTATTGGACAAGACTGTGTGGCATCGCCCTATCAAATCGTAGCCTAATTGGACGAGTGGGCTGTCATTGCCCACCTTCTTTCTTCGCGACAGTTTTCCTTTTGGTCGGAAAGCAACCAATATAAACGTGGGCTAGAAGGCGAACAGCTCGTAGAGTTCAGGTTTTTATCATTTGAGAACATGTCTGGCCGTGGAAAAGGTGGAAAGGGTTTGGGAAAAGGGGGCGCTAAGCGCCACCGCAAAGTCCTGCGAGATAACATCCAAGGCATTACTAAGCCCGCTATCCGCCGTTTGGCTCGCCGTGGCGGAGTGAAGCGTATCTCTGGCTTGATCTACGAAGAGACTCGAGGGGTGCTGAAGGTGTTTCTAGAAAACGTCATCCGCGATGCCGTGACTTACACCGAGCACGCCAAGAGGAAGACGGTGACTGCCATGGATGTGGTGTATGCCTTGAAACGCCAAGGCCGTACCCTGTACGGATTTGGCGGTTAAATGCCCTGAACTTTTCAAAAAGTAAATCAAAAGGCCCTTTTAAGGGCCACCCACTTCCTCGCTAGAGAGCTGCAATCACAAAAGTGACATGCGTTCTAATGTTTCCGAGGTTGACATCTAATAACGGAATTTAAACTACAGTTTTCCCCCCCCTTTTTTTTTCCTACACATTAAACGGGAGTAACAGCTCTCTTTTTGATGTTTTGGGTGGCTCTTAAAAGAGCCTTTTGTGTTTTACACTGATGTTAACGGATAGCGTCTTCATTTGCCTTTGGCCTTGTGGCTCTCCGTCTTCTTGGGTAGTAGCACAGCTTGGATATTGGGCAAGACTCCTCCCTGGGCAATAGTAACGCCTCCCAATAGCTTATTGAGCTCCTCGTCGTTACGGACGGCCAACTGGAGGTGGCGAGGGATTATTCTAGTTTTCTTGTTATCCCGGGCAGCATTGCCAGCCAGCTCCAGAATTTCAGCTGTCAGATATTCCAACACTGCAGCCAGGTAAACGGGGGCTCCAGCACCAACCCGCTCGGCATAGTTTCCTTTGCGAAGGAGACGATGAACTCGGCCTACGGGAAATTGGAGCCCAGCACGAGACGAGCGAGATTTCGCTTTAGCTCTAGCTTTCCCCCCCTGCTTGCCACGGCCAGACATTGCGACGCAGCCTCGGCTCCCAGCTCAAAACACAGAAGAAAAAATAAAATAGCAATTAAAGGAAGAGAACCACCGACTCCTTTTATCTCCACCTCGCGTTACGCCAGCGCCATTCCTGATTGGGCCCAGCCTGTTACCAGGATTTGACAACCAATAAGACGGCAAGCTCTCAAGGCGACCAGTAAGGGCGCGCAGGTACAGTGTCTACCCAATAGAAATCTGGGCATTTGGCAGGGCTCTTATTTGCATGTGCGCGCGCAGGAGCGATGATATCAAAGCTCCCTCGGCCAATGACATCGTAGTGCTTTGAATCCTCTCATTTGCATAGAGAGACTATAAATACAGGGACGCGATCGGTTCCCTTTCTTCAGATTGACTTCTTGGTGTTTTCTTTTTTATTTTAAACTTGCCGTGCGAAGAAACAGTGATCTGTTATTCAGAATGCCTGAGCCGGCGAAATCTGCTCCCGCGCCCAAGAAGGGCTCGAAGAAAGCGGTGACCAAGACCCAAAAGAAGGGGGACAAGAAGCGGCGCAAGAGCCGGAAGGAGAGCTACTCCATTTACGTCTACAAGGTACTGAAGCAGGTCCACCCCGACACCGGCATCTCCTCCAAGGCCATGAGCATCATGAACTCCTTCGTCAACGACATCTTCGAGCGCATCGCGGGGGAGGCGTCCCGCCTGGCCCACTACAACAAGCGCTCCACCATCACCTCGCGGGAGATCCAGACGGCCGTGCGCCTCCTACTGCCCGGCGAACTGGCCAAGCACGCCGTGTCGGAAGGCACCAAGGCCGTCACCAAATACACCAGCTCCAAGTGAGGCGGCTGCGCTGCGGAGTAAGGCGATTTGAGAAACCCCAAAGGCTCTTTTAAGAGCCATCCACTTCCCCGTGAAAGAGCTTGGTCTCAAAACTAATGTGTCGTCTTTGTTATTATGTCTCCCGCCCTGATTATTTTTATAAATAATCCCCCCCCTTTCCTCCTGTCAACACATAAATGTATTTCTTCTCCAACATCGGTAAAGGAAGTCCACATATAATTGTGCTTATATGCTGTTGTGCGTTTAACCCCCAAATGCAGTAATTTTATGGGATGTTTCCTATTATTCCCGTTGTACCCGTGCTCTTCCCAATTAAAATTCCTGACGCGCCATTATTTTCGTATTCTTTTAGATTATTTCTGGGTTTGCGACCGAAAGCCAGCGAATTAGCGATTCTAATACGCACCCGCGTCCTTGGACGCGAGTAAACGGCATTCTCAAAAATTGCGCGCGGTTAAGTTCTTCCACGTTTATATACAGAATTTCAAAAAAGTTCCCATGACCCCTTCTGGTCAGGGGGTCCCGAAATGATCCCCAAATGCTGATTTTACGACCGCTTATTAAATCATGCAACGGAGGTTATTTGGGTGATGTCCTTGAAGTTGAAAAACCAGAACCAAACGGATGGCTGTTGTTAAAGAAGAGCCGATCTGCTTTTCTGTATACTCTATATTTCTGGAGGAATGACACCCGGCTGAGCAGAAAGAACAATATAGCAAGTTGTATAAACTGCCTCCAGTCCCCATAAAACACGCTTCTCCGTTGTTGCGCTAACAGCTTCATGTACAGCATGCAGCTCTTTTTATTGCCACCTAGTGGTGGCCGTCAGAACTAGTTTTCTGGCCTGTAAGTAGCATTGTCACTGTTGCCTTTACTCGCTGTTGTTTGGCCTTCCACATCTGTGAGGCAGTCAGATTTCTGACCAAAGCAAGCAGATCTATCCAGCCAGGAGAAGGTAAGACAACCCTTTCCCCAAGTCTCGCGTGTTTGTGTGTGTGTGTGTGTGTGTTAGCTGAGTTTTTAGGGGACTTAGTGTCCCATGATAGATGTCTATGGAGATTGTCAATCATCCAGGTTGTGGCTGTCCCAACGGTGCTTTTTCAAGAGGCAATTGGACTTTCTGGTTTTACTCTGAAGACATTTTGCTTCTCATCCAAGAAGCTTCTTCAGCTTTGAATGAGCTTCTTGGATGAGAAGCAAAATGTCTTCAAAGAAAAACCAGAAAGTCCAATTGCCTCTTGGAAAAAAAAAAACACCTTTGTGACAAACCTTTGTGGATGACTGAGAATCTCCATAGACATGAACCTCCCCCAAGGTTAACATTAACTCAGCCCAGTTGAGTTGAAAAAAAGCACCTTTGGGGCAGGGGTGGGATTCAAATTTCTGTGGGTGTGGCCTAATTTGTGGGTGTGGTTTGGTGGTCATGTGACTGGCTGGGCATGGCTTGTATGTAAATATTATAAATATTTATGTAAATATTGAATTTTTTTTATTAAAAAAAAGCAACTTTTACCCAAAATTAGGCAAAGCAGGCAGGCAGATTGAGTTGCTCACAGAATCACAGATCTATCTTTCTGCAATGGGCTACCTGAGTGTCACATAAAATTTGCCAGTAAGCAAACTCATAAAATTAACTCACAACACACCATGTCTGTAAATATTGATTATTATTTTTTTTATAAAAAAGAGCAATTTTTGCCCAAGAGCAGGCAGGCAGATTGAGTTGCTCACAGAATCACAGATTCACTTAGAGATCTGTGTTTCTGCTATCTGCTACCTGAGTCTGCACTGAATAACAGAAGCTTCAGGCTCAGCTCTGCTTTTAGATTAGCTAGAAAGCAAGAAATCTAGTTTCCTGCTTTCTAACTAATCTAAATCTCCCGGCACAGCAGAACAGCTGATGGTCAGGAAGAAAAAAAAAAAAGGAAAAATAGCAACTTACCAAATGCAGGCAAATTGGATGGTGCGCATGCCAAGTAAGGAGTGAGTGGGCGGGGCCAGCCAATGGTGCGATTTGCCAGTTCTCTGGCAAGTAAAATCCCACCCCTGGTGAGAGTGCGTTTTGCATGCACCTGTAGACTATTTCCTAAAAACCTCAGCTATGCCACCCTGATAGCTGACAAACGCTGCACGTGGATGTGCAGCGTTTGAAAATCCTCTTCTTTCCTGCTTTTTCAACCTCAGCTGTGCCGCACAAAGCAGCTGAGGTTGAAAAAGCAGGAAATAAAGGACAGCCAAGAGCCCGGGCAGGCGAGTTGGCCAAACAGAGAAGCAGATACCAAACCAGTTTGGTGTCTGCTGCTCTTCAGAGCTATCAGTTCTATAGAACCGGGCAGAACTGGTAGCATCCCACCCCTGCTTTCGGATGTCCTACAGAATGATGAGGGTTTTGTTTTTTTTCTGTGTTGCAAGGGAGTGGGAAACCACCCAGGACTATTATTCCTTCTCTTGAATGCACACATACATTAATGCTCTTCCAATAGTTAATTTGAGAAGAATTCTTGGAATAAAGGCCAGAGCTCTGCATCTGGGCAGGGAGTGACAAAGGCTAGATCAAACAAGCATACAGATAATTCTCTACTGATGTCCACAATTTCATTTCTAAACATGGTGATTGTTAAATGAGTCAATCCCAACTTTGCAACTTTTTTGCCCTGGTTGTTCACTGCAGTTGTTGAGGGAAACAAGCAATCATTAAGCTAATCTGGGTTCTCCTACCAACTTCGCCTGCCAAAAGATGGCTGGGAAGTTCACACATGGCAATCACATGACCCCAAGATGCTGCAATCATTAGAAATACATGCTGGTTGCCAAGTGCCCACATTTTGATCATGTGACTGTGGTCTATGATGGTTGTAAGCATGAGGACTGGTTGCAAATCCCTTTTTTCAGTGCTACTGTAACTTGGAACAGTCACTAAATGAACATCGAGGTCCACCTTTCATGCTAATTTTAGGCTGACTGGAATGTCCTAGAGCCCATCAAAGTTCCTGTAACTCAAAGAAGGGGTATGATACAAAAGAAATCATCATTTTTATTCCACAAATTTTCTCCTTTTTCTTTACTTTTTCTCTCGTTCTCAACAGGGTTGATTTTAACCAATGAAAAAGTAGTGGAAAGGAGAAAAGGAAATACGTTGTTATATGTGTACAGCTAAGGCAATAATTCCTCATTTTGATTTTCTACCATTCAGTAAATGAAACATGGGATACCTGCTTCTAGGTTTGCAATATAAAATTTGTAAAATTTGGGGTGTTGTCTTCAACAATATATAAGGGAATTCAGAAATGTCTATGAAATAAATAATAAGACTCGGGGAAGATCAAAAAGTGCAAACCCTCTCTTCTGCTGACAATCAGTATTTGCAACCCAATTTCACTTGTGTATTTTGGGGTGCTCTATAGGTAACAATATGAAAGGATGGGGTGCTCATGATAAATATATTGTACTGCCATGTTGGCATAACTTCCAGTATCCTGCTTAAACTTCAGCAATGGTTCTGACAGCATAGAAACATATTGAGTCAAAAAATTACTTGCTTCAGATTTCTTGAAGATCCTCCTTTCTCCAGGAAGTGCATGGTATCTCATGA